CTTTGCCAAATTCTACACGTCAAGTGCATAATGTGGTGTAATGCGAATCCTGACAATCTGTACCACTCTGAAGGTACCCAATGTCGGATGGTTGGGGTGAGCTGCCTAGTGACTTCCAGGTACTGCAGGATGTAAATATTGGGAGCAAGAACAATCATATTTTGTTCTCCACAGCCAGATGGCATCTGTAACAAGTTATCAAGACTTAGCGAACGACCCATTATGTCCCCCTAAGAGAGGAAGAAAACAAGGTCAATCCAAAAAGCCATCAGAAACCAAACAGTTATTTTGCTGAAACTAGCAGCGTCCATTTAACGAAAAGCTTCACCAAGGACTGAAACTGAGCACTTGGCTGATACCTGGATCACATTTGTTGGAAACGTCAGATACATCTTCTGAAAGGACACTTCCTGTGGACCAAACAGAACGGATCAGCAGAGTGCGCTAGGTTACAGTTCGCTGATAGAGGGAGAATGCATTTAGAAAGTCACTGAATGCAAACAAACCCTTTGGACACAACCAACTCTGGGTGAAGATCCTTTCAACTCCTTCAGGCTATAAGCACCACGTCAGTAGAGCAGTATAAGCTCCATGATCAAACTCCAGAAAGCTGGTTAACACTTACCAGAACAAGTAGACTTCGGGTAACTACGTCAATGCATCCTCTTGTTGGCACAGTCACAACTTCAGTGCCACATCGAACCTGGGATTGTTCAGCCTGAGCACTGACGGTCACATTTACAGATCCTACAGTACAGAGAGGAAGTGAGGAACAACTCACGTACATCTCAATTTAGAAAGAGACAGTGCAAAACAGACCGAGAACAGAAGCAGAGAGAAACCATTTAAAAGGTCTTTCTCCCATTGGCACAGACACAGGATGAATACGGCTCATTAAAAGGTCTAAGACTGAAGTCCAAGGAAGCTGGAGTCACTTTAACCTGCCAATGAATTACATGATTAGAGCACATTGAGTAAAGAGGATTCTCTACGGATCCATTTAGGTGTGTGATATTGACATGATTCATTTTCTAGGATGGAGTTTTTGCACTAGTAACTTGGCTAGTTTAGGTTTGTCAGGGACCACTGTCTGCTGAAGTTTTTCCATATTCAGTGTGGTGGTCAGTTCATAGCAGTGACAGAAATTGAGATATTTTGATAGAATTAGCCATGTAAAATACAGGGCCACCTTCCATGAGTATTGCATTCTAACTGTTACAACAGGCTACAGCTTACTCTGAAAGATACTCAAAGCAAGGTGACACTATCAGCTTGCACATCTAACAGAATTAGAAAGTCAAACACCCATTACAATAATAAATATGAATACAGACCATGATGCACTTGGACAGATAGTTGAAGACTGTGGCCTTCAGCTCAAAAGACTCCACGGATGATGGAGTAAGGCAGGGAGAGCTCCAGGAAGAAGGGCTGGAAGACCGTCAGCTGAACAGGAGGAGCCAAGCCAAAACCTTTGGAGGACAGGCAGAACGCCTCAGTCTCCCATGTGGTGATGGTGTCAGGAACCTTCAGAGGAACTCTGGTGGATCCAGTGCCACTGAAGGGCAGCAGAAAAGAGAAATAAGGGGAACAGAAGCAGTAAAAACTGTAGGCAAGTGGCTTTAGATGGAACAATATGCTTCACTAACTCCACTTGAGCAAGCTGCCAGATCCAGGTTTCTGGAAAGAAAGTCCTGACGGTCACATCAAAAGAGTTGTCAGGAGCCTTCAGAGTAACTCGTGTGGATCCAGTGTTTCTGAAAAGGACACCGGAAGATAAACAAGTGGGCCAAGAGAGGCAAGTCGAGGCCAAGTGGCTTTAGATCAGTGATGTCAGACTCATTCCTGGAGGACCACAGCCCAGCAGAGTTCAGATTCAACTCGACACCTGATCCAGCTAGACAAGTCCTTCAGGCTTATTTGAAGCCTACATGGAATGTGTTGGAGCATGGTTGGAACCAAACTCTGCAGAGCTGGGGCCCTCCAGGAACTGAGTATGACACCTGCTTTAGGCCTAGTCCACACGTACATGGGTATTTTTATTACATGGGTTTATCCTTGGTTGAAAAAAAAAAAAAAAAAAAAAAAAATGAAAAAAC